GGGGGGGGGGGGGGGGGGGGGGGGGTTCCTGCCCCGCGACATTTAGAGAGGATGCATGCTTTGCATGTGGGCCCGAGTCAAACCTCTTTATCTAGGGCGCCGTGAAAATCTAGCTGTTATTCAAATGCCCCACAGCTGACGCTTTTTGCATCCATTACCCTATCAGAATACTGGCTGTGCTAGTTTCCACCCCATGAGGGTGGCTTTAAAATGAAATGTGAATGCAAGGTTGCTACATGATTTCTGAACGAGGGGCTGTGTGACTCCCCCCTGTGAGGCAGAAGCTTTCACACTGCTCATTTGCATTTACCACAGCCTGCCGTGTGTCAGAATAAATACTCCAATAGGATTAAGTAATGGAAGTTTGTCTTTGTTTTATGTTTTTTGCTCTACTTAAAAATGGTGCCGGGGCTCTCTGTGCATCACACAAAAGAAAAAAATAAAGGAAGAAAAAAAACTGAGATGAAAGGACTGAGCACTGCTTGTTTGGAGGTCTTTGGTCTGTGCGGCCTTCGCGTTCCATCAAAATAAGACGAGAACTTTTTCTAAAGACGTCTGGCGGGTTCCAAAGCTTGGAAAATGGCGCTCCTGGCTCTTAGAAATTGACACAACCAGGTAATCAAACCAGTTTGTTTTAATTGATCTGAACCCGTGAATACGCCTTTAGCGTAAAATGACATGTTGGGTTCTATTCTTCAGACTAAAGGAAAATTAAGATATCAATGCTACCTGTAGGATTAACAATAGCTTCCCGGTCAAGCTCCTCTTCACTCCTATCTTTATGATTCACATGAAGCGGATCGGCATGAGGAGGTTTTGTACGCACAATAAAATGACCTATAAATACAAGAAATGAGGAGTAGAATTTAAAGACAAACGTGTTACCAGTCAAACCGAAACACAGTCAGGTTGTTGTTTTTTTCCCACCCAAAAACAATGCATAGCGTCAACAGCGTGGCAAAAAAAAGAAAAAAAGAAAAAAGAATCAGCTGTACTGCACTTCATACCTAAACCTCTGGCAGGTTTTCGCATGTGAAAACGTGTGCGAGGAAAGTTTTTTATTGTTCCAGGTGGAGCCTGCTGCTCAGGTGGAGAGAGTCTAAAGTGCTCCTGGTAAAAACGAGGGAAAGAGAAGAAGGGGAAGGAAGCTAGGCGGCTCTGGGGGGGAGGGGTCAACAGAACGTGGGAGATTTGTGAGTCCTTTCCTTTTAACACTGCTGCTGAGGATCACGGCTCCTCCAACTGTGGACTCCACCATGCTCGTATCAAAAAAGAAGTGTGGGGGGGGTCTTTGGAGCTCCATGCTGGCCTCTAAGTGTCCTCCTCCTCCTCCTCCTCCTCTTCACGTCTGCTCACCACCCTCTTCCTCAGAGCTTCATCGGCATATCCCTGCCCCTTAGGCTCCGGGCGGCCCTCGGGGGATCCTCTCCGTCTTCTCCAGACCTCATCCTTATCCCCATCTTCCTCCTCCTCCTCCTCCTCTTCATCATCATCCTCCTCGCCGTCGGCCTCTTGGGCTTCGTCTTGCTGCTGGATGAACCTGGCCTGGTCCATTGCCTGTTTCTCTGCAGGGGGAAATTTAAAAAGCAGAAAGCGTTTATGAGCTCGCTGTGCGCCATGCAGAAACAGGATACGGTTAAATCTCATGCGAAACTCACTCTGGTAGTACTCAGAAGAAGAAAAACGTCTTGAGGGAAAGACGAAATCTGCTATGAACACCAGTAACTGCCAGAAGACAAGAAAAAGAGAAATAAACAACCCTTAAAGGCACCTCTAGCAATTGTCTAGTTGGGAAAATAGCTGTACTTCGTGGGAACAATTATGCTTAATCTGTTTCATCAAATTTAGAAGAAAAAAATGTGAAGGTTCCAAAATGACTCACAAGACCCAGCGCAAGACCAGAGAAGAGCGTGGCCAGGCCAAAGATAACGTATGAGCCCCAAACAGGAATCCCCAGCTGGTCTGTCATGTAGTTATGGCAGCGCTGGAAACACAACAACATCCTACAACTTTAGCAGCACAATCAGGCCACACACTGAATTTTTTATGCTGTCTGGAAACAAAGCAGAGGAACTCAAACATGTGTTCTATATTGGCAAACCTATTTAATGAAATCAAAACACAAAGTCTTAAGAGCGTGTGATTTTGGGACTCTGTTCAACTTAACTGTGGGGCCTTCGGGAGCGACTTACCCGGATGAACATGGAGAGCTTGAACAAAGCGGACATGGAGTTCATCCTGTCAAAAGCAGAACGGATGACAGAATGTAACAGGTTCAGCTGCAGTGCTCGAGTGTCTGCCCTCCAACTAACGGAAATACACTATTCACTAAATGGTAACATTTCAGATTATAGTCTTTCAAATAAGAAATAAGTGTATATTTCCTTTTTCAAACTTACAAAAAGGAGGAAGGCCCAAACCAGGAGGAAACGGGCTCTACTGCTTTCCATTTCTGCTCATCAACAAAGCTGAGGAAGTCGTCTTTTGTACGAGCTCCCTGGTACCTCCGGAAGATGCCGTCCTTACAGCTGAAACACAACACACACACACACACACACACACGCTCAGCTACCCTGCCTTTATCAAACCTTACGGACTACACAAATATCTTGTGTATATCAATGAAAAAAGAATAAAAAACTTCCAGAAATCAAATTAGCAACACAAACTACACTGACAGAAAAGGGGCTGTGTGAACATACAGTGACTAAAAAAATGTGACAGTGGAGAAAATTGGTGATCTAAGAATACATGCAGCTATAAAAACCAGTAGAAAGCAGACATCTGCCATGACTTCACAGACACAGAAATGCGGAAGCGATGAAACCACAAAACAGGCAAGAACTTACTGGTAGATAGTGGGGAGTGAGGTTATGATGAAGCGCCCGCTCAGACCTTACAGAGGGACAGACGGAGGTTAGTGTCAGTGGGCAGGAAGGAGCACTTTGACTCGTTCAGCCATCTCTAAGATCTGGCAGGTCACTGCCTTCCTCTTTGAACATGCAGCTGCCTGTCTGCTGGCCCACGAAACTACAGGGAACTCATTTTCACACGTGCACCGCAGTCCTGAAACGTCCTGAAATGTTCCAGAGCAGTGGCATCCACGGCTGCAAATGCACGAAACGCTCGCTCGGAAATTCTCACAAAGATTTTCCACCCATTGCACAAATTCCTTCTCCAGAATAGCAGAGTGAAACGGAGTGTCTCGTGTGTGTGCTGGTGGGTTTGCCCTTTCTGCTGGCCTGTTTTGAGATTGTTCTCCACTATAGCGGATATGCAGACGCGCCATATTCAAATCAACACAATAAGGAGTCTTATCTGGCATTATCAACGTGCTGTTAAGAGCGGTTTATGCTGAACAGGGCTGCTGTATGCTCCAAAACAGCTGTATAACCCACCCTTTTTTGGCAGCAGTTGCAGGACTACACTGTGTTAACTTAAATGGATGACCACCCTTCAAGGAAACATTGACAGGAATTTTTTTTTGTTGGGTATTTTGTCTATTAGTTATACAAAGCTAAAGCTTTACTCATAACAGTCATATGGTGGAGGTCTTCAGTCCTTACCTGGTTGCTCTGTCACATCCACCTTGGCTATGTTGACCCCCATGTCCTCCCCCCAGTCCGCAAACTCTTTCCACACCGGCTGGAGCTGCTGACATGCAGGACACCACGGTGCGTAGCTAAGGGGTTGCCAAGAAAAAGCATTTTAGAAAAACAAGCGAGCAAGTAAACGTATAATGTTCATATAAAACAGGACAGTGACCGGCGAGGTAGCCAAAATGCCTGTGGCGGCTCGTGCTCTTCATTAGCCTGTTAAGTGAGCAGCGCTGCTAGCTCTCCAACTCTGATAATCTGGTTAGCTAAAGAGGAGATCTGTTTGTAACGGTGGCCATTTTTACGACTTCAAAAGGAATGAATTAAGGCTGACAATTTGTCAAACGGGGATAAAAGAGAAAGACATGGCGCTGACCGGGCGCGGAAATCCACGTTCCGTTTACGCGAGTTCAAAGACAAACTAGCACAAAAAAAAAACAACAACTGCCGACTTGCCGTTAGCACGGCGCGTTAGCAGGGCACTTACAATTCAATCATCCATTCCCCTGTCAAGATTATCTCCCAGTTGCCGTCCGTCACTTCTTTGAGGCTGTCCGGCTTTGCCGACACCGGTAACAGCGTTAAACATATTCCAAAAACTAAAAAGGAGGTCAAGAGGCGCTGTTGTGCTTCCCGGGATGAGGAAAACATTATTGTGCTCGTGCTGCTACTTCTGGCTAGCAAACACGCCATCTCTGGTCTGTCAGCGAGCAGCAGCCCACTTCCGCTGTGCGCCAGTACGTCAACCGCGATGACGTCAGATAGATAGATAGATAGATAGATAGATAGATAGATAGATAGATAGA